AGTGGAGGAACGGGCTAATGTATAGACGAATGCAAAGACGGGTTCACCTCAGAAGCCTTGACAGCGACTCACCTCCGCCAGCTTGACTCACCTCCGCCAGCTTGACTCACCTCCGCCAGCTTGACAATGGCCTCGTAGTCGATCTCCCCATGCTTGGTGATGCCGAGCGCGTGGATCTTGAGCACCTCAATGCGCCCCTGCTCGTTGGGCAGCGGGATCTCTATCTTGCGGTCCAGCCGCCCCGGCCGCAGGAGGGCAGGGTCCAGCACGTCCGGCCGGTTGGTGGCCATGATCATCTTCACCTGCCATGGAGGGACAGAGGAGTCCGAGTGAACAGCAGTTGAGTGCCATAAGGTGGATACGGTGGTAACCGGTTTTGGCGTACAATGCTTCTATAGGGCCCAGCACGTCTGGCCTGTTGGTGACCATGATCCTCTTCACCTGCACAGGCAGTGGAGACAGGCAAGGAGGGTACAGACAAAGGGAGGGAGAGAGGGTACAAAGGGAGGGAGGGGGAATGGCAAGAGATATGCAATGGAAGCCGAGGCGAGGCAGGAGTGATGCAAACCATTCCCACAAACAGCACGGCCTGCCGCCAACAACCTTGCAACACGAAATGCGCATGCAATGCGGCACCCAAGGAGGAAAGCATAAAATAGCTGACACATGCCAGGCCCAACAGACAGCGTACCCGTCCGAGCTGATCAAAGCCGTCCAGTTGGTTCAGCAGCTCCATGAGCGTCCGTTGGATCTCGCGGTCGGCGCTCGTGCCCTCGCTGAAGCGGCGCCCGCCAATGGCGTCGATCTCGTCCATGAAGATGATGCACGGCTGGTGGTCGCGCGCATAGTTGAACATCTCCCTGATCAGCCGCGCACTCTCCCCGATGTACTTGTCGACAATGGCACTGGACACAACCTGGAAGGGGTGGGACGAGTCGAGATAGTACACGGAAAGGGCATGAGATCTCGCCCATGAAGTGAAGATGATGCATGGCTGGTGGTCGCGCGCTTAGTTGACTCGCAAATAAGGCGCACACTTTTCCCTATGCACTTGTCCACTATGGCACTTGATACGACCTGCAAGGATGGGAACAAAAGAGGAACAATCATCTGACTCATCTCTCAAGGGTATGCATGGCTGGCTGGCTGGCAATTGCAGGAAAGCGAGCAGAGAGGCCCACCCAAGTGGAAAAAGCCCTACGCTCCTTTAGATGTACTGTGGCGTTTGCGTGCGAGCCAGGCAGGTGGGGAGTGAACGGAGCCAGGCAGGTGGAAAACGAACGGACAAAACGAACGGACCCACGCACCTTGAGGAAGTTGGCGTCGATATTGCTGGCGATGGCACGTGCAAGCAGCGTCTTGCCAGTCCCCGGCGGGCCGTACAGCAGCACGCCCTTGGGGGGTTTGATGCCGACGCGCAGGAAGAGCTCGGGGTTCATGAGGGGCAGCTCGATGGACTCCCTCAGCTCGCGGATTTGATCTCCCAACCCACCAATGGCGGAGTAGCTGACGTTCCCCGGGTCCTCGTGAAGCATGTTGTAGACCAGTGGGTCCACCTGGGCATGTGGTCGAGAGAGGGGAGACACAGGAGGGGCAGCAGGAGGGGCACCAGGAGAGGCAGCAGGAGAGTGTTTGGGACAGGGAAAACACAAGAGGGGCAGCGGGGAAGAGGTTAGGGCTCATGAGAGGCAGCTCGATGGACTCCCTCAGCCAGCCGATGGCAGAATAGCAGACGTTCCCTCTGGGTCCTCGTGAAGCATGCTGTACGCCGGCAGGCCCACCTGAGAGGGCGGGGGGGAAGGGGAGAAGGAAAGTGTGCGGAGGAGTAAACAGAGGCAGGTTGCATGCTGTCGGCAAGGTGGCATTACAGCCTACAACTAAACTCACCTCTCCGCGCAGAGCACGTGGCATGGCATGATGGTGAGGGTGGTCATGTCGAGCGCCACACGCTCGCTGATGGGACTTTACGTGCTGGTTCATTCGAATGCAGAATCAAGGTGTCAAAAACATGGCATCCCGCTCACCTCCCCGGGTAGCGCGCGCATGATGGTGAGTGTGGTAATGTCGAGCGCCGCTCGCGTGGCTGACAGGACGTTACGTGCTGTTTCATTCGAATGCAAAATAAAGGTGCCAAAAGCATCACATCCTGCTGAGGTCACCTCGCGGGGCAGCGCGCGCATGATGGTGAGTGTGGTCATGTCGAGCGCCACTCGCGTGCCGGCGGTGAGCTTGCTCTTGTCCACCTTGCTGCGACACCCCACCACGTACCGCGGGCCACTGCTCGCCTTCACAATCACTGCACGCGAAAATGCGCGGAGAGCCAGGGGAGTGGGGAAGGGACAAGACACAAGTGTTGGCTGTGAGATTGATTGCTCTTGTGCTGCGACACCTCACCACGTACTGCGGGCAAGCCGCTGCTCGCCTTTACAATCACTGCGCGCGTGGCGTGTGTGATAAGTCGATTTTTTTAGTTGAATCAAAAATCGACTTATCACATACAGTCACTGAGCGCGAGCATGTTATGTGTGGTGGGGTGGGTGGTCAGGTAGAAAGTGAACTCTTCAGGCGACTCAGACCCCACCAAGTACCGCGGGCCACTGCTGGCTTTCACTGTCACTGCGCGTGGGAATGGGTGGTGGGGAAGCAGGGGAGGGACAAGACACAAGTGCCGGCGGTGAGTTGGCTCTTGCCCACCTTGCTGCGACACCCCGCCCACCATGTACCGCGGGCCGCTGCTGGCTTTCCCAATCACTGCGAATGGGAATGGGTGGTGGGGAAGCAGGAGAGCGGCAGTACGATTGCTGCTCATCAGTGCGATTGCTGCTCATCAGTGCAATCGCTGATCATCAGTGCGAGCGGCCATGCGTGGGAGCGGGGTGGAGGAGGGACGACACAACCACACAAAGCGAATCACATCTTTCCAACTCACGTTTCTCCATCAACCCTCTCGGACTTACGTCGCTCCTCGTCCAGTCGTCGCAGCACCTCGCCTATGATCTGCCCCACGCTCTGCAACTCCTATGTAACGGAGGGACGATACACGCCCCGCACAACTACTGGAAGCACCTCACGCCTTGGCTCAACTCACGTCGCTCCTCGTCCAGTTGTCGCAGCACCTCGCCTATGATCTGCCCCACGCTCTGCAGCGCTTTCAGGTCGTCCTCCGTCTTGTCGTAATCCTTCCGCGCGCCCTTCAGATTCTCCCGCACTGCACATCGGATCATACCAAATCGAATTAAATCCCAGAGAAAGGGCACACCAGGAAATCGACAAACCTAACAAACTCCACAAACACGAGGAAAACAAAAACAAACAAACAAAATCTGGTTGTAGCGTGAAAAGGGAGAAATTGAAGAGGCAGCGAGCACTAACAGATCCAGCTGCTGACCTAAATAAAAGAGAGGGACTAAGGAGCAGAAATTAGCTACGTACGCGTCTTAACTCGCGCTTCTAACTCCCGGAGCTGAAGCAGCTTCTTGCGATAGTCCACCAGTGCTTGCTGCTTCCGCTGCTCCTCCACCGACACTGCCGCTGCCGCCGCTTCTATCGGATCTGCCTCCATTGCGACTCGCCGCCTTCGCAAGCTATGAGCAGTGGAGGGGAGGAAATGGACGGTCAAGATGAATTCGGGCGAGATCCTGGATTTGGAGTGGATGGATGCTCGAAAGGAGGTGAGGCTAGTGATCGGGATGCGAGTGCGACTAATGATGTAATTCTGACCGAATTTCTAATGGAATTCCTGTCAGGCGGACCGAGGCGAAATGACTCACTGGCACTCACGGCCTATGTCGAAGGAAGGACCGCGAAGGATCACTTGAAGACTGACCTAGCAGTATACTATCACAAACCACTATAATCACACCTTGAACGGCGGATTTGCGCCAGAAACGGGTTCGATTACAAAGGCAGACGGACGCAGCGGAGTCGGCGGTTAGAGACACACCACACCCACGATATCAAGTGAGCTGTGTCTTTCGTCTACGAGAATAAGTCCTCAATGGCAGCTTTTCTGACAGCAAAGAAGTGAGCAGGGTGAAACTGGAATTCTGATCTGGGATGGTCGTGTACGAAATGTGAGGGACTCTCGAGATCTCCGCCTGAACAAGGAAAATATAATGAAGCACCATACCAGCGACGGTACAGTACCTAGAATATCAAAGAGGTGTTCATTGGCGAGGAGAAATTGTATAGAGGAGAAAAGTGAATCTTAGATTAGATTGGACCTACTTGGAATAAAATACTAGTAAGAAAATCTTTATGGTACCCTGCATTCTAGAAAATTTGGTCCCATCCATCCCAGATTCCACTGGCAGCAACTCAGTGTTCGTAAATCCGTGGCCAACATGATCATTCAATAACACGTGGCATGGCACTCCTCTATGTATAACCTAACCTGTCGCCTCGGTCAGTGACGCACGCACATTGTTTCAGGGGGTGTGTCAGAAATAACTGTACACATTATAATTTATATAAGCTGCCTACATAGTGTAGTTATGTGTTACACCTGGTGCACGATTCCTACCAGTAGATGAACAAAAACATTCAAGCGAAAATCTAACACTTGGCTCGGGTGAATGCTGTCTGATGTAGGTTCTACTATGCTTTGCTCTTGATGGGCTATAGTCTGAATGCCTCCCATACTTGTGATGGAGATTCATTCCATGCTGACTCATGTGTGATGATCTTGCCCGTGCTGTTGATGCGAAAGACGTCGTCTGCATGACAGCGAAAGAGCAAAGCGGGAGGACGATGGGAAAGGGATCAGCAAAGGGGAATGCTTTTGAATCGACTCAAAAGCAGATTCATGTGTGATGATCCTGTCCGTGCTGTTGACGCGAAAGACGTCGTGCATGGAAGCAGCAAGCAGGGCAGGAGGATGATGGGAAAGGGATCCACAAAGGGAATGATTTACAATGATAGAAACACGGTGTGGGGGGAACGTAACGCTTCCCCATTCCCCACTCCCTCCCTTCCCATCACTCACCCCCCCTTCCCAACACTCACTCCCTCCCCCACTCGCTGCCTCCAGTGATGCCCAACGCACCTCCTGTGATGCCCAACGCACCTCCAGTGATGCTGAGCGCCTTCCCCCATCGGGTGCGCCCCCTTGTGCTCCACACACTCCGCACTGCGCCCACCGCCTCCCCCACGCGCCCCTCCAGCCCCGGACGCGGGGAAAAGGGTGAGTCGGTGCGCGTGTCGGGAGGGACCTGCAGAGGGGAACAGGGAAGTGGAGGGGAGGAGAGGCGGGAGAGAGGGGTAGGAGAGGGGGAGGAGAGGGGGAGGAGAGGTGAAGGAGAGGGGGAGGAGAGGTGAAGGAGAAGGGGAGGAGAGGGGGGGAAGAGAGGGAGGAGAGGGGAAGCTACGTCGCGATGTCTGGGAGATGTGTGTCCAGGTGAGGGGGGCATGTTGCAGTCGTTTCTAGGGTGCTGCTAACATACTGTGTGCGTAGTAGGGAAGGAGAGAGGGGAGCAGGGATGAGGAGATTGAGGGAGGGGTTGGAGGGGGGTCGGCGGGTGACGATGGGGGCGGGGGGGAGGGGAGGGGGGGGAGAAGAAGGGAGGGGCGAGAGGATGATGGAGAGTGATGGTGAGTCAGAAAGGGGCATTGCAAACACTGCTCACCTCTTCCAGTGAGTGCACTTCGAAAACGAGAGACCTGGGTTCGAATCCCACTGCCGTGATTAACCTCAGGCTGGTGATCATCCCTCTGTACAGAAATAGGCCGTCCAATCGCGTCACAGGATCCACGAATGCCACGCTGGCATCGTAGATGGACCAATCCAGGTCTCGCTCGTACTGCACCGGCAGGTCTTCCCGTAAAACGCGCATCACTCGCGCTACGCGCGCATCGGGCGCCCCCGCAGCTCCGCCCGCCGTTCCTTGCCCCGCCCTCGCTGCTCCACCTTCATCTCCCGCTACGCGCGCAAGAGGGGTGCGCAGATCCCCCGGTCTCGCGCGGAGTGTTCCCTGTCTCACTCCGCCGTACTGCGCGCTTCTTCGAGGGCGCGGTTCTTTGGCGCCGCGCCCCGGATTACCCCCGCCAAAGCACAACGCGCAGGCAGAATGAGGCGCGGGATGATAAGTGGGCTTCAGAGCGATGTCGAAATGGGAAACGCAGAGCGAGCGATCAGATTTCGGCGAGTCTGACGCGGGAAGAAATGCCGCGTGGGGAGAGGCTGCGCCGCCGAGCGTGCGCGGGACCGGAAGGGAGAAGCGGATTGCGGCGGCGGGCGGCATGGGGCGATATTATCAAACTGGACGGCGCGAATTGGAGGCTTGTGGCAAAATGAAGGGTCGAAAGGGCAGAGTGAAAGGTGTAGCGACAAAAATGGGCGGCGCTCCGCGGATGGGACTAGGAGGAAAGTGATGTGGAGGTGGGGTGAAGAGGGTGAAGGATGACATTTACGCAATAAAAGCGCGTGACGTTTTCTGGATTGCAACGTCAAAATTTGGATAACGATATACAGTATTTCGCGATTGCAAATTTGATGTTTCAATATAAGAAAAAGGCACAAATCTGTGCTGCGACAAGACTTTACCAAACCGAACTGAAACCAAAACTCACCAAAGCCAACCGGATTTCATCAGCAAACTTGTCGCCCCTTCCTCAACATCGTTCACCTCAGCCGCGACGAATGCCACTGTTCTACTACCTTCACCAACCACTTCCTTTCGTCGAATTCCTCCCTCAAGCCTCCGAATCACTCCCTATCGCGTTCGCCACCCTCGCACTAGGCGTTCTCATGCCCCCAGATCATCTTACGCGGCTACTCGCTCAGCCGCATTGCCATCACGATGCTTCGAGCTGTCGAAACGAGCCGCGGCGGCATTGCCAGCGGCTGCTTCAACGAGTCGTTGCTGTCGCGTCGCTCCCGCCGCCAGTGACGGTGCGCGCTGACGTCTTCCAGCCGCTGCCGGGGCTCGGCACGGCCAATGACGTGGCGTTCGCTGAGAGTACGTCGCGGGTATAACTGTAGCGGGGATATTTGGGAAGGAGATAAGAGTAACGGTTGATGAAATGGAGCCTGCGGCCGAAAATTCTCGAGAACAGCGAGGCATGATGCGACGGTGGTGGCGAAGGTGACTGCGTGGAAGCATTTAGATCTGTCACAGCAACGTAGCGTAGACTTCACGGATGTTCCTTCTTCCCATCCCCTCTTCGCTCATCCCTGCGCCCTTCCATGACCCCACGCGCCCTTCCATGACCCCACGCGCCCTTCCATGACCCCACGCGCCCTTCCATGACCCCACGCGCCCTTCCATGACCCCACGCGCCCTTCCATGACCCCACGCGCCCTTCCATGACCCCACGCGCCCTTCCATGACCCCACGCGCCCTTCCATGACCCCACGCCCTTCCATGACTCCACGCCCTTCCATGACCCCACGCCCTTCCATGACCCCACGCCCTTCCATGACCCCATGCGCCACGCGCACGACTCCTTTTGCTCAACCGCAGTTTGCCCCACAGATCAACCGCCCTCCCACAGCCCGCCCTGCCGCCCCTCCTGCCCGGGGCGCTCTTCGCCCAGCACCGCAGCGCAGCGCAGCACGCACCGCGCGCCCTTGCGCCTCCGCGCGTCCAATCGTCTACCTCCCCCGTTCCTCCCTCCCCTCCTCCCCCCCCCAGAGGCGGCGCTGCTATCGCTGGCAGCAGCGCTGGGCGGGCACGCGGCGTTCCGGTGGGCGGGGTGGGTGAATCAGTCGCAGGGGCTGTCGGTGCAGCAGAGCAAGCCGTGCGTGCAGTTCTGGGAGTTCCTCTCCTGCGACTCGCACGGCCGCGTCTCCAGCATGTGAGCAAGTGAGGGGGGTTGTGGGGACGTTCATGTGAGGCCGGCAAGGGAAGAGATGGCGGATTGCGCGGGTTGTTGGCAACGCACGGATCGGCCCCTCATCACCCCCTCATCCACCCCCTCATCCACCCCCTCGTCCACCCCCTCATCCACCCCCTCATCCACCCCCTCGTCCACCCCCTCATCCACCCCCTCGTCCACCCCCTCGTCCACCCCCTCATCCACCCCTAAGTTGGATCTTACGTTTACGGTTTGTTACGTTTTCGTTTATTTACGACGTTTTTTACGTTTACGAACGGTTGCCTAGATTCGGCCTTACGTTTACGGTCACCTGAAAACTTTTTTAGGTCTGCCCGAGGAAACAAATTACCAGAGTACTAGGGAGACTCATTCTGTAGGCATCATGTCAACTTTGAAGAAACAATAATACCCTAAACATAAAATCCTCCTCCTCCTCCTCCTCCTCCTCCTCCTCCTCCTCCTCCTCCTCCTCCTCCTCCTCCTCCTCCTCCCCTTCCCCCTCCCCTTCCTCCTCCTCCCCCTCCCCCCCCCCCACCTCCCCCTCCCTAACACAACACGGGCATCTCCCTCCCACCTAATTCCTTAACTCGCTATCTTGTTCGACGTCAACCTACCAGCTCGTTCGAATCCTATCGTATTCCTCTCCTACTAATCAACGCTGAATCTGAAACTTTCACGGACTCGAAAGGCGCTCCATACCTAGTAAATTCGCTATTCTAGTAGTAGGATCTGGTACCCGTACATAATCCAGGGAGAAAAAAAAAAAAAAAAAAAAAAAAAAACCCTAAACCCTGAACATTTTTTTTTCGCTGCCCGCCTCAGACTTACGCGAAAGTTAACGTTCGTAAACGAAAACGTAAAATTTCGCGAAATTTACGTTTACGAGACCTAAAAAAACGTAAGTGCCCAACTTAGATCCACCCCCTCATCCACCCCCTCATCCACCCCCTCCGTTTGCAACCTTTACTACTCCCCCTCTGCCTTGCGTTCCCCTCCTCCTCTCGCCTCTTTCTTTTCCTTTACTATGCCCCCCCCGCCGACACCCCCATCTTCCCTTTCCTCACCTGCTCGTCCCGTTCCCCGTCCTCCCTCTCCCCCCTCCCCGGCCTGTTCTTCTTCCTTCTTTCCACTCTCCCCCGTCTTCTCCCTTCCATCTTTTTCTTTCTTCCCTTCATCCTTTCCTCCCTCCGTCCCCCTCTCCCCCTTCGTCCCCCCTTTCTTCCCCTTCCTCCAACCCGGCACCAACCACAGCAACATTGCCAACCCCACTTTAGCCATCATCAATGCGTCGAGGGTCAATCAGAAAACGCCAGGTGGCTTAAAGGGGTCGATCCCCTGGGATTCCCTCACGGCGCTGGAGCACCTGCAGGCCGTTGATCTGTCGGGCAACTCCATCTCTGGCCCTCCGTTCACTGCTGCCATCTCCAAGTTCACTGCGTTGAGAGACATGTGAGTGGGGGGGTGGGGGGGTGAGAGAGAGGGGGATGAGGGTGAGGGGGATGAGAGTAAGGGGGTTTGGAGTGAGCGTGGGTGGGAGTGAGAGTTGTGTGAGGGTGGTTGAAAGTCAAAGAAGATGCAAATGACCCCTTCAGCTTCCCTGCCCCCTCAACCCACGCACCACCTGACCCCACCACGCACCACCTGACCCCACCACGCACCACCTGACGTCACCACGCACCACCTGACCTCACCACGCACCACCCGTCCTCCGCCCACGCACCACCCGCTCTGACCTCCCCCCACTCACCACACTCTCCTCACCTTCTCTCCCTCTTTCCCCTCATTCCCTCCGCCTCTTTCCCCCGCCCATCCCTCTCCCGCGCCACCCCTGCTACCCTACCCCTCTCCCCCTCCCCCTCCCCCTCCCCCTCCAATTCCCCCTCTCTCCCTTCTCCCCCCTGTCCCCCGCCCATGCCTTCCCTGCAGCCAGCTGGCGCGCAACGCCCTGGATGCACCTCTGGTAGACAAGGTATCCGCGCTCTCCAACCTGCAGAAGCTGTGAGCCCTGCCCCGCCTGCTTGGTGGGGAGAGCGGAGGGCGGGCTGTGCTGGTGGTAGGGGCTGCTTTGGTTGGCAGCTGGGGTGGCAGTGAGCAGTATTGCTGGCTGGGCACTGGGCAGGTCGAGGGTAGGAAAGGAGGTTCTGAAAGGAGGTTCTTAAGAGACTGAAGCAAGACAAGTCAGCTTGTGTGAGGGGATGAGCATGAGCTGTGGTGGTGCTGGTTAGTTGACTCCATCAAACTGATGTCAGATTGCCTCAACAATTTAAGGCGTCCCTTCCCTACAACCCTCACCACCCACGCCTTCCCTGCCTCCCTCCCTCCCCCCCGTTCCCTCCTCGCCACCCTCCCCAGCGACCTGAGTGGTAACCGCATTCCCGGCGCCCTGCCCGCAGGCCTGTCCGCCCTGACAGCCCTGGAGGTCCTCTCCCTCGCCTCCAACCATCTCGCTGACTCCTTTCCTGCAGGCCTCTACGCACTCACTCACTGCCCTCAAACACCCGTGAGTATTCTGCCTAAGTTCGAGCCTCCTCTACTTGTTTAGATTCCACTTCCCTGCCATTATGCTCGAAACAGAGGTAGATATATGCCCATCCTCCTCTCCTCATCCCCCCCCTAGTCTCCTCCCCCCTTATTTCTTCTCCCCTCATTCCTCATCCACTTAAGAAGTCATTATGATTCTCAGAGGATGGGACTGGAGTGTAGACACCACTTGTTCCCATTCTCCCTGAGTTGGCATACATGCTCAAACCCTTTTGCGTTCAACCTATACACGCTTGCGCGTATTCGCTATCCTCTGTAAGCTAGCGATCACGAAAGACCCAGCCTTTGTTTTTGGGGGGCAGCTCGGGTAGAAAAAAATGAGTGTGTGAAAAAAGTTGAGCATGTCGTTGGTGATCATTTCTTGGGAGTCCAAATGCATGTCGAATATGTATGGAAACGAGGACGTGGTTTCAGAGTCGTGGCTTAGAGATCAACGTTTGAATTTTCAGACCACCACCACTTAAAACCCATACTACAATGTACGAACTCCAACCTCTCCAGTACGTCTCTTCCCCAATGAACTGCACGGTAATAAACCAGCCGTGGCATCTGCTTTCTCGTCATTCCTAGTCCATCAAAGTCACTCCTAGTCCTCCTCCTTGCAATAACGTCTACTTTGCCGCGGTCACCACTGGCCCAGGCTGCGGATTGCTTAAGTGCCGTACTGCTATTGAGATGGGGCTAGCGCGAATTAAGTCGAGCTGGAAGAGTACGGGGTCACTATTGCCTCGTTAGGATATGATGCCCGATAAGAGTGGAAGGCCCCACCCAAGTGATTATACTCCTCACCTCGTTAACGACTCCGGTGTGCCTCAGGGAGTGCATTGACTATGGAATCCAGGATTGGGGGATATGTCTTGGAATTTTTAAGGCCAGCGATGGAGGAGGTGGGTGCTGAAAATGTGGTCGCATATGTACGGATGTGGTCCCCAAGGTGGAGCTCGAATCACGCGGCCGCTTGCATCGAGCTGATTGCTCAATGGACGCACATTGAGCATAAGCCGAGCGCCAGTCATGTTCGTGAATGGAAGTCGTGGGGAAAATTGTGTGGGCAAAAAATGTGGTGGGTCGTGCAGGGGAGATTATTCTGTTTTCTCCGCAACCATCATTGACCATCATGGTGAAGTGATGGCAGCGGCACGACACTGATGCTCCCAAGTTGGCGTCCCTCGTTGCCATCAGGGTTCTCTCCCATCCTGTTTCGGCATCATCCTGAGCGTATTTGGGTCATGTAGGATTCAGTCTACACTGCCCGCCGGAACCGGCTTGGATCAGCCAAGTGTAAGGATTTGGTTTTTGTTGCACACAACTGGAAGGTTGTGCGCAAGTGGCTTTCGCGCCCTGATGTGATGCCAGGAATAGTCAATGGAACATGGAGGAGCCACCCTTGCGCAAGGGCTACAAGGTGTTGGAGGACGCGGAGGAGGCGGAAGTTGAAGGTGGCGTTCTGGAGGATGAGTACGCGAATGCGATAGAGTGAGGGGGAACTAAGGATTTGCGGGTTGGATGGTTTATGATGTTTCGAAATAGGCGTGAGCAAAAGGCCCGGTCGGGTTGGGTCGGCCCGGGTCGGGCCAGGACCTTCAATGGCCTGGCCTGGGCGAGTCGGGTCGGGCCGATCGGGGCGTAAAACCCGACCCGACAGTGAATGTCGCGTCGGGTCGGGTCGGGTTTCGGGTCGACGTTGACCCGACCCGATGTCGGGTTGGGAAACAGGGTAACATGGCCTGGCCCGACCCGATCCGACCTGGTTTCGAAACTCGCTGAAACCGTAGTCGATGTAGATGGCTCAAATTTTACCTCTTGACATCTCACACAGAGTCAATCGTAGCTGAAGTCTACTTCTGAACATAGAACGCAACCTAACTAACCTTCAGCCCAGAAATCCTAGTTTCTATGCAAGTACTAGTCGACTATGTGCTGCAGAGGACTAATGTCGCGAGATCTGTAAAGAGTGGGAGGGGTTGGCTGGGAACTGTAATGATTCAATGCGGTAAAGGGTGGTAAGCAGTGGCGCATTGGTTGGAAATGTTTGTTCCCACACATTTGTGGAAAACGAGTGCCTAGGCTGAGAATTTTAGAGGCGAAATCCCAATGTTAACAGATATTGCAACGAAATCGCTGATCTGCGCAGATCGGCGGGCGAGAGCGGGTTTCCTGACCCGACCCGGCCTCGGTTCGGCCTGACCCGAAGTCGGGTCAGGCCTGACCCGGCCCTGTACCCCCGGGTCGGGTCAGGGTATTTAACATCCTGGCCCGGGGCTGGCCCGGGGCTGGCCTGACCCGACCCAATCCGGGAACCCTCTTGGCCCGGCCAAGTCGGGGCCGGTCGGGTCGGGTCGGGCCGGATGCTCATGCCTATTTCGAGGTACAGGTGGTGTGTAGGATCATTATGCGACTCTTGCTGTATTCTTTCTGTTTTTGTTGCCACTTTATGTTCTAAGAAAAGAAACACAACCTGTTAGTGTTAGCCCTCAATCACAACATTTGTACTTGTGCCTTTTTATATCCCAGATTAGTGCAGTTTGTAGCTTGTGTTGGTTTGGTGTGCACCCAAATCCCAACCGAACCTAAATGTGGTCAACCAAAATCGTTAACCCACCAATTGGAGATTTGAGCCGATTTTCGTGGGATTGCCCCCGATTCCCTTCCCATCCTTCCCTTGCTCATTCTTGAAGTACTTGAAGCTTTGAGCTCATTACCTAATGTATCAATTCAAGCTCTATTTCATACGCAACCCCCATAAAACGTCTGCATGAAACTGAATATGGATGTTTTTTTTTTGGCCCTGCCTGACAGTTTTTTTCCCTGCCCAAATGGCATGTGCCAAACCTAACATCTTAGCGTTTAGAGTAAACACGCTCGTGTATATACGCTTAACGCACATATGCCAGCATTGGGTTCTCCATCACCCCATCACCCCATCACCTCATCACCCCATCACCTCATCACCACATCACCCCATCACCCCATCACCTCATCACCCCATCACCCTATCACCCCATCGCCTCATCACCCCATCACCTCATCACCCCATCGCCTCGTCACCCCATCGCCTCATCACCCCATCACCCTATCACCCCATCACCTCATCACCCCATCACCTCATCACCCCATCACCTCATCACCCCATCACCTCATCACCCCATCACCTCATCACCCCATCACCTCATCACCCCATCACCTCATCACCCCATCACCTCATCACCCCATCACCTCATCACCCCATCACCCCATCGCCTCATCACCCCATCGCCTCATCACCTCATCACCCCATCACCTCATCACCCCATCACCTCATCACCCCATCACCTCATCACCCCATCGCCTCATCACCCCATCACCTCATCACCCCATCGCCTCATCACCCCATCGCCTCATCACCCCATCACCCCATCGCCTCATCACCCCATCGCCTCATCACCCCATCGCCTCATCACCCCATCGCCTCATCAACCCATCACCTCATCACCCCATCACCTCATCTCCCCATCACCTCATCACCCCATCACCTCATCACCCCATCACCTCATCACCCCATCACCTCATCACCCCATCACCTCATCACCCCATCACCTCATCACCCCATCACCTCATCACCCCATCACCTCATCACCCCATCACCCCATCACCCCATCGCCTCATCACCCCCATCGCCTCATCACCCCATCACCTAACCACCCGATCACCTCATCACCCCATCACCTGTCAGTGCCGCCCATCGCTCCCTCCCTGCCTCTTGTTCTGCCACTCCATTAGCATCCCTGTATGCTGCTACTCATAAGCTTTCTTTGACACATTGCACGCTCCTTCCAAACCCCTGCCAGAACATCACTCGCTTTTCATACCCCATCAAATCCCCTCCATATTTCCACCAACACCCCTTCCTCCCCCTTACTCCATCCCTTCTCCCCTCCCTTTCCCTCCCCTCCCCCCCCCTCCCTCCTCCTCCTCCCCTCCACTCCCCTCCTCTCCCCTCCACTGCCCTCCACTCCCCTCCCTTCTCCTCCCATCGTCTCCTCTGCTCCCCTCCCCGTCTTCTCCTCTCCTCACACCTCTCACAGCGACCTGGCCAGTGCGGGAGTGCGCACCCCACCGCCAGGCTCATGGTCGGCGCTCTCATCGCTAGAGACCGTCTCTCTTTAGAACAACAACCTCACTGCGCCCTTCCCTTTCCTCCTCCCAGTGATCTGGCCAGTGCAGGGGTGCGCACCCCACCACCGGACTCATGGGCGGCGCTCTCATCACTGGAGATCGTCTCACTGCACAGCAACAACCTCACTGCACCCTTCCCCGCCTTCCTGCTGCAACTACCCAACATCTCCGATATGTGCGTCTGTCTTCCCTTCCCTCCTCCTCCTCCTCCTCCTCCTCCTCCTCCTCCTCCTCCTCCTCCTCCTCCTCCTCCTCCTCCTCCTGCTGCTGCTGCTGCTGCTGCTGCTGCTGCTGCTGCTGCTGCTGCTGCTGCTGCTGCTGCTGCTGCTGCTGCTGCTGCTGCTGCTGCTGCTGCTGCTGCTGCTGCTGCTGCTGCTGCTGCTGCTTGCTGCTGCTGCTGCCTCTACTTCCTTTCATCTCTCTTGCTGCTCCTGTCGCATCAAGGTCTGCATCTTCCATTCCCCACTTTCTTAGCATTCTGTGTAAAGTGACCTAAATTCACCATGCATCAGTTGTTCGTAAAATCTTTCCACCCCCACTTCCTTCTTCCCCCCTTTCCGTTCCCATTTCCCCTTTCCGTTCAACCCCCACCCTTCCCCCACACCGCAGCACGTTATTTAACAACAGCCTATACGGCAGTCTGCCTGCCACCCTTTTTTTCATCCCCTGTTTCCTTCCCTCCTTTCCTTTCCACTTTCCCCCATTCCCTTTACTTTTTGGTTCACCCCCAACACCCCTCTCCCACACTGCAGCACGCTATTCAACAACAGCCTATACGGCAGTCTGCCTACCACCCTCTGGAACCCCATCAAGCTGACTTTTGTGTGAGTAGCAAACTATCCTGTGAATTACTCATACACGCATGCATATGCAGGACATGGCAAATAGGACACGTGTAGCCCTGCCATTTAGATAACTCATGTTGAGTAAAGGTGTCAGTTTGGTAAACCTCCAGACCCATCCGTGCCCATCCACAAGTGCACACAGCAACCATTGCGTACCACCACCATCGCCTCATCTCCATCTGTCCACCAACCTCCCCTCTCACCACCACCCGCCCCTCCAAACATCCCCCCTTCCCCCCTTCCCCCCCTCCCCCTTCTGCCCTCCCCTCTCCTGCAAGCTGTCCTTCAACTATTTGAACAGGTCGGTCCCTCAGCCTCCTGGAGTTTGAGAATTCTTCCACCCCCCCTCTCACCGCCTGCCCCTCCACATTCCCCCCATTTCCCCCCTCTCTCCCCCTCCCCTGCGAGGTGTCCTCCTTCTACCTGAACGGGTCGGTCCCTCAGCCTCCTGCTTTTTGAGAATTCTACCACCCTCCCCTCCATTTCCCTCCCTTCCCCTCTCCCTCTCCCCAGCGAGGTGTCCTCCAACTACCTGAACGGGTCGGTTCCTCAGCCTCCTGCCGGCCGCTCTGCTCAGTTCAGGTGCTGCACGCTCCCTTTGCGTCCACCTCCAGGTGCACTGCTGCTGGTGCACTGCTGCAGGTGCACTGCTGCTGGTGCACTGCTGCAGGTGCACTGCTGCAGGTGCACTGCTGCAGGTGCACTGCTGCAGGTGCACTGCTTTCGTGGTTTGGCCAACCACTCCTAACACGTGTAGCGCGCTACGCCATTTGCTTCGCGTGGAAGTGCAGCGTGGCGGAGCGATGAAGGAGGCGAGGCGGGGAGCGAAGGCGCCTCGCGCTGGTGGCGGGCGGGGCGATCCCAGCGGGCCGCTGATGCCGCCCACCGTCATCTCTGACTCACGGTTTTCCGCGCTCCACTCAGACCCGCGCTTCGCGGTGAACTTCGATACCAACCGCTCTGGCTGCTCGGTGCGCCAACCGCTCTGGCTGCTCGGTGCGCCAACCGCTCTGGCTGCTCGACGCGCCAACCGCTCTGGCTGCTCGGTGCGCCAACCGCTCTGGCTGCTCGACGCGCCAACCGCTCTGGCTGCTCGGTGCGCCAACCGCTCTGGCTGCTCGACGCGCCAACCGCTCTGGCTGCTCGGTGCGCCAACCGCTCTGGCTGCTCGACGCGCCAACCGCTCTGGCTGCTCGGTGCGCCAACCGCTCTGGCTGCTCGACGCGCCAACCGCTCTGGCTGCTCGACGCGCCAACCGCTCTGGCTGCTCGGTGCGCCAACCGCTCTGGCTGCTCGACGCGCCAACCGCTCTGGCTGCTCGACGCGCCAACCGCTCTGGCTGCTCGGTGCGCCAACCGCTCTGGCTGCTCGACGCGCCAACCGCTCTGGCTGCTCGACGCGCCAACCGCTCTGGCTGCTCGACGCGCCAACGCGTCACGTGCCTCACCCCCTGCCATGCCCCTCCCACCTCATGCCTCTCTCGCATCCTCTCGCCCTTCCTGCCAATCCCGCCTGCCGTGCTACACACATTCGCAGGAAGTCATTCCGCCTCTCTCCACTTTCCCGTTTCCCCATCGGCTTTCCCCAGCCCGCCCCTTGTCCGACTCCCCTGCGCCCTCTGTCCGCCCCATTCGTCCCACGCGCTCTCTATCTGCCCGTCTCGACGTCTTGCACAGCAGCCAGGCACGTGCCGCTCCTATTCTTTCCCGCATCCCGGACCCTGTCCAGAGCTAGTGCACCCCTGCGCCCCCAAACCCTAAACTCCTGAACCCCTAACCCCGAAGTTGAATGATCAACCCCAAACCCAGGACCCTCGTCACCCCCACGCACCCCTCGTCACCCCCATGCTCCCCTCGCCACCCTTGCGTGGAGGAGGAGGAGGAGGAGGAGGAGGAAGAGGAGGAGGAGGAGGAGGAAGAGGAGGAGGAAGAGGAAGAGGAGGAGGAAGAGGAAGAGGAGGAGGAAGAGGAGGGTGGGGTGCATGAGAGTGATGACGAAGAGGAGGGGGAGGGCTCAGATGACTCGTCCTCCTCCTCCTCCTCATCAGACTCGGAGAGTGAGAGCGATGAAGAGGCATCAACCCGACAGGTGCTTGCTTACTCCCACCCCTTTGTTCTCGCCTTTCCCCCCTGCACCGCTCCATTTTCCCACCACCACCACATGCTGCTCCCGTCACTCCACTCCCGCTCATCTTTGCTCCACCCCTCCTCTCTCCCCTCATCGCCCCACATCCCGCGCTGCCCCCTTGTTGCGCCGCCGTCTATCCAGGGCGGCAGCAGCAGCAGGAGGAGCGAGTGGAGACGGTGGAGGAGGCAACGAGGCGCCTGGTGCTCGTCAACATGGACTGGGACAACGTGCGGGTGAGACGAGAGGAGACGGGCGTGCGGGTGAGAGTAGAGAGGAGAGGGGCGACGTGTGGGTGAGACGAGGGGCAGCATGGAGTGGCACAATCAGGGACGTGAGGGGGGGGGCGTATGGGGGTGGGTGAGCATGGCAAGGACATGGGAGGGGAGCATGCAAGAGCAGAGCCATGCACAGTGGCAGGACCACTCCCGTGCTCCCTCTTGCTGCATGCTTACTGCCATCTCACGTCTCTCCTCTCCTTTACTTTCCATTCCCTCTTGCTGATCCTCCTCCCCACCCCCCTCCCCCCTGCCACGGCAGGCAGTGGACATCCTGGTGGTGCTGCGCTCCTTGGTGCCGCCCGGTGGGCGCATCACAGCCGTCACCGTGTACCCATCTGACTTCGGTCCGCACCAGATGCACGCCGAGCTCGAAAGCTGCCCTCAGGGGCTCTTCCAGGCCAGCAGTTGTGCAAAGGGGAAGGCAGGCCGGGGGGCTCAGGTGCAGGGAGGTGAGGAGGGGGAGGAAGGGGAGAGCAGTGAGGAGGGCGAGGGCATGGATGCGGAGAGACTGAGGGAGTACGAGAAGTCCAAGCTCAGGTGACCCCCCTGTCTAACCCCTTCCCACACTGCCTTATCCATTCTGCCCTCACCCCACACTCGCCTATCCTGTCTGCCCTGCCCTCTCTCCACACTCGCCTATCCTGTCTGCCCTCTCTCCACACTGGCCTAAAAGGCCATGCCACGTGGCAGTTTGAGTGCCCAACCCCCTCCCTCATCCCCCTATCCTCCTCCGCCACCCCTCTGTGCGGCACAGGTACTACTACGCGGTGGTGGAGTGTGACAGCGCGGGCACGGCGGCACACGTGTATGCGGAGTGTGACGGCATGGAATATGAGAACAGCGCCAACCTCGACCTGCGCTTCATCCCCGACGCCATGACCTTCACCCACCGACAACCCCGCGACTCCTGCAGTGAGGTGCGTGCAGGGGTGCAGTGAGGAAATGTATTGGGCATGTGTTGGGCATGCGATTGCGTGCACTAGATAGGTGTGCCAGCTTACGCTCCCAACACGTACACATGCCCAACTCGTGCGCAACACATGCCCAACACATGCCCAACACATGCGCAATTCGTGCCCAACACATACGCAACACATGCCCAGCACATGCGCAACTCGTGCCCAACACATGCGCAACACATCTGGGTTGAGCGTGGTGCTGGAGAGTGCAATCACGCTCAACCGGTCTCCCATCACATGCGCAGCGCTCCTCCACTGTGTGCGTCCATGGATTCCCCTGCCACTCTGCGCGCACGCACCGTCACGACGGGTCAGAGCAGCTGCGCTAGGCGGGGCTGGCATGGTGGTGTGCCAAGCCTGGAGTGCCTTTCATGGGCTCGTGCGCTCAGCAAGGCCATGGAGTGTGAAGGCATGCCACATGGAGTGTGAAGGCATGCCACATGGAGTGTGAAGGCATGCCACATGGAGTGTGAAGGCATGCCACATGGAGTGTGAAGGCATGCCACATGACCAGGCGATTGAGGTGGGAGTGGCAGTTAGCCATCGCAGCTGCTCCCACCGTCGTCGTCTACTACCAACGCCCTGACTGAAGCATTGACAGAGGAACGCGCTGGCACTCTGCGAAGAGTGAAGCAGAGAAAGGTGGATTGCATACTTTCTGCCCCTCACTTGCGCATGAACTCAACCATGGGCGAGGGTGGGTGGGGCGCATAGGTGAGGCGAGGTGGAGTACCGGAGGCCGAGGAGGTCTGCTTTCCTTGCATCTTCTCTCTCGACGCTCGAGCCTCATTCTCGTTTGCCACACACACACACACCTGTGCAGGTGCCGGGGGACTACACAACGCCGGTGTTCACGACGCGGGTGCTGCAGCACAGCACCGTGAAGCTCACGTGGGATGAGGACGACCCCACCCGCGTGCGAGCGTTGCGCCGCAAGTTCACCGCCGTCCAGGTGAGCGCCGGCCAGGTGAGCGCCGGCCAGGTGAGCGCTGGCCAGGTGAGCGCCGGCCAGGTGAGCGTGCCGACCGGATGAGTGCCATCTGCCCTCAAGAGGTGTGCCATCTCAGCAAGTGCATCTGCCTTCACCACTCCCCTCTTGCTCCCCCCCTTGTTTTTCCCTGAACACCCTTTCCTCCGTTCGCCCTTGTCGTTTTGCTCCTCCTGTTCCCAACCCCCCCTTCCCCCCCTTTCTCCTGCGGGCTGGGCATGTCTCCTTGTGTCCTGTGCGCTGCTCTCTGCAGGTGGCGGATCTGGACTTCCACGACCACCTCGCCTCGTCCTCGGGTGAGGACGAGGAGGAGGAGGGGGGAGAGGAGGAAGAGGAGGAGCAGGACGAGGAGGACGAGAGAAGGGAGAATGGTGGCAGGAAGGAGGAGGGGAAGAAGAAGGGTGGAGGGACAAGAGAAGCAGCTGAGAATGCTGTTGAAGGGGCTGGCGGGGATGGCGAGGGCAAGGGGAGGAAGAAGGGGAAGGGGAGACCAGGAGAGGCAGAGGGGGAGGAGTCGGATGGGGGGTAGTCGGGGTCATCAGGGGTGGAGGTGACGTTCACCACGGGGCTGGCGGCGCTGGGTGACAAGCTGGCGCGGCGGGGCAGCGAGGAGCAGCGCAGCGGCAGCGAGACGGTGTTTGAGGCGTACCAGCAGCAGTGCAGGGAGAGCTGCAAGGAGCGCCGCCGCCTGGCCGAGGCGAGCAAGGCGGCAGGAGGGGGGGGCAGGGGGGAGTGCGGAGGAGGGAGGAAGTGACGATGACCTGTATGACAGCAGGCGCGTGCAGCAGGAGGACGACCCCTTCTTTTCCCTCCCTGCGGACGAGGACCCGTTTGCCGACCCCTTCTTTGCCTCCACTCATGCCGGCGGTGCTGTCGCTGGCACGGCCAGGAGTGGCAACGGAGGGGCTGGAGGGGTGAAAGGAGTGAGGGCAGGGAAGAGTGTGTTATTCAGGATCCGTCACTTTGAGAGTTTACGACGAACTCATTTCTAAACTAAACGCAAATCCACTCGGTAGGATGTTGCGCCTTAGGCTTAGCTACCATCTCCAAGTTGAATCAGTCGTTGACATGGTCTATAGAGTGAGAACCAATTGAAAACGTCCAGCAGCCGCTTGACTAGAATTGTGGAGGAAGTACAAGCATTAGGGCATAGAGAGTTGGAGTTGGGAACTTCCAAGAGAACCATGAGGGGGAAATGGTTCTCCAAGAGCTAGGGAAGGATGGTAGGAGCCTTCCTAGCAGCAAGGATGCAACCCTCATCATGAGGTCCTTGAGGGGGTTGTTCGCCAGCACCTTTGAAGCCAAAAACCACGGGATAATGATGGGATCGGGAAGGTGGGTCTCGCCTTCTTGATCCCATCAGTTAGGGTTCGTTAAGCTCCGTCAGCCTGGTCAGCCCGTAAAAATGCTGCCGAGCCTCTCCTATCGTCCAAACCAGAAACCAATGTGGGGGCCTGGCGAATGCCCCCATTTCGAAACCAAATCGAACTGCTCGACGGCATATGGAAACGGGGACGCAATTTCGTCCCCAGGCAAAATTCCCTCCCAAGCTATGCCATCGCCATCCCCCCTTTTTCAAAGGGGAGCGATGGCACAACGATTGCATTGCCGTTCAAAGCCCTTGGGGGGAAGGTGGGGATGGAGGTTCCCGATGCTGTTGCGTAATTTCGCTTTTCGGAAACAGAAGTTTCTCGAGTGGCATTTCGCCCAAACCTCGGAGGTGGGTTCCGCCTCCGTTTCCGGATTCGGTCGCAATGCCGATGCCATCTTTTTCATTCAAAACTTCGATTTGCTGGCGAACAGCACCGAGGTGTCACATGCAAAATCCAATCTAGTTGGATTTTGCCTAGGTGTTGCAACATTCGCAACCCATGCTAGAAACTTCTAGCCACCCCAATCCAAAAGTCAAAGTTGCCTTCCCTAACCACCCAACCAAAGATTCCTTTATAGTCATGACCAAATAATCACCCAAATTAGATATAACCCCAAAAGGTAATAAGAAATCCAAGTCTTGGAAATCTTGTAACTTGGGCGATCTTGGTCGGAATAAGGCGATCTTGGTATCGTTGGAAAGCTCTGGATTTCTCCTGCATGATCAAGCATTTAAACTTGGAGAAAAAACACAGAGATGAAAATATCCAGCAGCCATACACAATGACATATGATCATACAAATAATGCACGCATGAATAGCACGAGCATTCGGCAGGACGTTAGGATGACATGCACTAAGAATGACGTGCATCCAACAGAGTGAGTATGAGAGGAAGGCAGAGGAGCGAGAGAGGAAGAGGGCGGAGCGGGAGCGAGAGAGGGCAGAGGAGGAGAGGCGGCGGGCGGAGCTTGAGTTGCTGCTGATGGAGGGCGGCGAGGGCGCGGGGGTGAAGGGATTCAACCTCAAGGCGGATGCACGCAAGGCCAGGGAGCAGCGCAAGGCCAGGGAGCAGCGCAAGGCCAGGGAGCAGCGCCGCGCGCAGGGTAGAGGGGCGAGGGGGGCACATGGCGCAGGGGGGGAGGAGGAGGCTAATGGGGAGGGAGGAAGGACGCGGTCGGTGGGTGGTGGGGGCAAGGTGGGGAGGGGCGGAAGGGAGGGGAGGAGTGTGGCACAGGCCGGGGTAGGAGGCGGGGCGGGGTGTGGACGTGGACGTGAATGATCCGCGCTTCGCTGCTCTCTTCACGTCACCGCACTTCGCCATCGACCCCACTGACCCCCGCTTCCTCAAGTGAGCCCTCCATTGCACCCCACTGCTGCCATCTCACTCATCCCATCCCTCCCACCCATTCCATGCCATCCCCTGGCCGTCATTGCGTGTCATGTCGCGTGCCAACTGCCAGATTGTCAGCCCTGCAGCGCCTTATAGCCAAGAAGCAGCGCCGCCGCGTGCCAGGTGGTGCAGCGGGCGGGGGAGCAGCGGGCGGGGGAGCAGCGGGTGGTGGCGGGAGTGGCAGCAGTGGCAGGGGTTCCGCCAGCCATGGGCGGGGGGTTCGAGGGGGGCTGCGAGGTGGGCGGGGGGCTGGGGATGGGGAGGAGGGGAAGGGTGCGGGTAGTGGCAGGGCGGAACTGAGTGTGGTTGTGAAGAGCCTCAAGCGCAAGATGGGGCAGAGCACACACAAGGCAGAGCCGGTGCGTTTCGAATTTATTTACTCAATTTGAGTACTGTAAAATATATAGGCGCATGAGACAATATTGCAATCCCATTACACCAAACTGTACATTTCTGTCAGAATCTCAGCCACTAACCACTGGGATAAAAGGGGCTTGTTTGTGTAGCGGATGAGTGCGCCCATAACCCCCCAGGCCGACATGCCTGTAACCCTTCCCTAGGATCTAACGGGGATCTCTAGTGGACCTCTGACACCCTCCCGCACTGGGATGCCCGAGGTGCACACATTGAGATTCGAACCCGAGACCTTCGCTTTGATACCATGTCAGACTCCCAGCCACTAACCACTGAGATAAAATGAGCTTGTTTGTGTAGTGGGTGAGTGTTCCTATAACCCCCAGGCCAACGTGCCTATAACCCTTCCCTAGGATCTAACGGAGATGTTTGGCCAAAGAAGAGGGGTTTGCACTATGGAGGGACAAGTAAAAATAGGCAAGAAAAGAGGTACACCACCAGCAGTTGAACCTAATATCTAACTAATACACTAGCAAGTTTTAGGCAGTTATAAAAGGATATGCAAATATACTTCAACACACCCCCATAACTGCCTTTGGCTATAGCTAGTGGTGTCTGGCAGTAGGTCGCCTGGAGAGCAGTTGCTTGTAACTGCGATATGCACAGAAACAGCGGTGGCTGGCCGGCAGCACTTGTAAACGCCAGAACGGAGCAGGAGGGCTAACACGGAGGGCGAAGGCTGCTAGTCGCTCGCCGTCTGCGAGCAAACACAACTGTTGGTGAGGAGGAGGAAGCTGGTGGTGCACAGGTGGAGAGCAGAGGAGAGGCGGCTGGAGGAGAGGAGAGAGGAGGAGGAGTGGTGAGGAGAGGCGGCTGGAAGAGAGGAGTAAAGAGGAGGAAAGGGAGAGAAGAGGGGCAGCAGAAACGAGAAAATGAGAAGGAGGAAGAGGTTAGGGTCGGCTGCTGAACATTTCCACCACCCCCTTACGGAGAGCGAAGGCTGTTGGTCGTTCGCCGTCTGCGAGCAAACACAACTGTTGGTGAGGAGGAAGCTGGTGGTGCACAAGAGGAGAGCAGAGGAGAGGCGGCTGGAGGAGAGGAGAGAGGAGGAGAAGAGGTGAGGAGGGGCGGCTAGAAGAGAGGAGTAAAGAGGAGGAAAGGGCGAGAAGAGGGACAGCTGAAAAGAGAGAATGAGGAGGAGGAAGAGGTTAGAGGCGGCTGCTGAACGTTTTCGCCACCCCCTCATCCTCCCCCTCACGGCAGCAGGTGCGGCTGAGAGAGAAAGAATAGAGGATGGGCGGGGGTGCTGGTGCTGCCAGCCAACTCACGTCACCCTTTCACCTTCTCCCCCCGTCCCCGCCACCTCTTCCCCCCCCACAGCAGATGCCGCGGGTGAGGCGTGGCAGGGCACGGGTGTTGCTGCTGGGAGCTCACGGCAGCCAACCGCCCCACACCACGTCCCTAGCGGGTCTGCTGGCGCGCTGGCGGGTCCGAAGGTGCATTGGCGGACCACTGGCAGGGCCGTTGGCGGGCTCCCTTGCGCGCTAACGAGTAGGCTGGCGCAGTCAATGGCGCAGTCGCTGGCGCTGGTGTTATCACACGCCGCTGGCGCAGGCGAGTGTCACTGGCGATAACGCTGGCGACGGTCGCTGGCACTGGCACTGGCGCTTGCGACCAACGAGCGGACGACGAGGCTGCACATGCGCCGGAAGCTCCGCGTGTGCGGCCGCGCGCGCGTTTGCTGTTGCGCTCGTGACGGGACGGGGCGGGGCAGCACGGGGGGCGAGCAGTGAGTGGGGCGGGCATTGCGGGACGGGGCAGCCAGCACACGGCGTGCTAACGGGCTGCGCGAATGGTGGGCCCATGATTCTTAGGTCCTAGGAAAGGACCTGCTCTAATGCCATGTTGAGAATCCTAGCCACTAACCACTGGGATAAAAGGGCTTGTTCGTGTAGCGGGTGAGTGCGCTCATAACCCCCTAGGCCACGTGCCTGTAACCCTTCCCTAGGATCTAACGGGGATCTCCAGTGGACCTCTGACAATTTTGTCCTTCGCCATTCCAATTGAGTTGAATCGATATGCGATCGCCAGGGTCCTCCCTACTGTAGATTCGATATGGGATCGTCAGAGTCCTCCCTACCGTAGCATTTTTGGGCACTGAATCTGTAAGAGCCGGGTCTTAATATAAGGATGTTATGATTACATGTTTTTGAATCTAGTCCAGACATGTTAATGGTGCGTGCTACGTTTTTTGTTATATAACACATATATATATAAAGACACAATGTCAATACGTGTCCACCAACGTTTTTTTTCAAATAATAATACCCTGTTTTCAAGGGCTGTCTTTTTCAAACCACCAAAAATCAGCGTGACCACAGACGTTATTTCTAGTCAGGGGTTTTCCTCCTTCCAAAAAAAAATATCGCCATTCCTCCTTCCACGTGGGACGAATCCGGTGTCAACACTGACGACGAGGAGAGGCACGCCGAGGGCGACAGAGGTGTGGAGGGTGGCACAGAGACTAGCACCAAGGCTGGCACAGTGGCCGATGTGTTTCCCGAGGGTGTCCCGCGTGGCGGCAACAACAACGGCGTCGAGTACTGGTCACGCGACAGCCTTCCTGAGAAACTTTTGGAACCGTCTTATCCACCTATTAACCGCAAGCGACCCCACCCTTCTCAAAACCGTGATGCCCGCCCCCCCTCTCCCAGACACAAGCCCTCACAACATAAGGGTCAAGCTTATACTGCGCAAGATAAGTTGATGTGGATCGGCCGGCTGGATGTGGCAGTTTTGGTGCATGCGTTATCTCGCAAAAACGACATCCACCGCAAGTGCCTCACCGAGTGGAAGAGAGCCGCGGAAGTCCTCAAGGACGATCACTTCGCACAGAAGCGCATGCACGGTCGCGGGAGAGCGTCCTGGTACCGGCCGATGGAGCTCAAGGTGTATGCGAAGCTCCTCGACTGGCGCCGCAAGGGAGCTGCCGTCTTCGTCGGTCGTCTGCACGAGTGGTCGCGAGAGTACATGAAGGTACTCTACCCCGACGTGAAGTGGAAGGGGAGCCAAAGGTGGTCGGACCAGTTTCGGCAGCGGTGGAATCTGAGCGTGTGCATGAAGACGAAGGTTGCCTAGAAGACCGCCGCCCGTAAGCAATTTCCCGTTTTTATTTAAACTGCTTTGTATTCCGTGTGCTCTATGAAACATGTGTCTCCCCACCCCTTCCCTATGGTGGACAGATGTTGCGGAGCAGTGCCATAAGTTTTGACAGTTCGTCCGTGACAAACGTCACGAACGCGGCATCGAAACCCGGTGGATTTTCAACGCCGACCAGACGCCTCCGTGGCTGGAGATGCCCGCCACCACCACTGTGGACCAAACAGGCGTTCGGTCGGTGCCTATCAGGGTACCAGAAGGAGCGCGTAACCGTGATGTTGGCGTGCACGGCCGACGGTGAGAAGTTGAAGCCGTGGGTGTTTTTCAAGCGCAAGACGGTGCCGAAGGGAGACATCCCGCTGGGTAAGAGATGTGTCTCAGTTCTTTGTCTGTTTCATGTGTTTTTTGTTTGGATATTCACTTACAGTACCGCTTGTGATTGTGCAGATGTGGTCGTGGCATGTCACGACAACGGCTGGGTGGACGCTGCGGGCGTCATGCGGTGGCTTGACGAGTGTATCAAGCCTTTCATCAGGCCCCGGTTCGGCAGGCAGGCGAGGAGCGCCATGCTCATGGTGGACTCCTACCGCGGTCACCTCAGTGACGACGTGGAGGCGAAATTCGCCAAGCTTGACATCGTGCCGGCGGTCATCTCGGCGGGCTGTACGGCGGAGATTTAGCTTCTCGACGTCTCGATCAACAAGGCCTCCGTCCGCCAGCACTACCAGAAGTGGTTTGAAGAGGAGAGCCAAGGGAGAGTAACAACTTCAGGTACAACATCCACCGTTAAGACTATATGCGAGATTTTATCCCCCACGTTGTTCTAACCTTTTCTCCACCCCCTCTCTATTGGTGGTGCAGGGAACCTCAAGAAGCCGCCACCAGCGGTGGTGCTGAGATGGATCTCGCGAGCCTGGAAGGCAGTGCCCGCTGTACTCATCAAGCGCGCTTTCCTCACATGTGGCATCAGCAACGCACTTGACGGCAGTGAGGACGGGCTCGCCATGGCGCACAGGCAGAGCCAGGTGACTCAGGAAGTGGACGTCGATGATGAGATCATCGCTAATGGCTTCTGGGGTAACAACTGCCAGGAGCCCGAGTCTCATAAGGAGTAGCTAGATCCTAGCTAGACATGTTAAGCTATGAAAGGTGAAGCCGTAGCTAGAAATGTTCATGTGTAAAACTTATATGTATCTTAGAGTTTAAAGAAAGTTATATATAGGGTCTTTTATAAAGAGTTAAATAACTCGAAGATATGGAAAGGGATGCGCTTATGATAAGTACAGGCTTCACAAAGGGTGCGCTTATTGTCAGAATATCATGCTTGTCTAGCCTGCAGTGGGGTACTCTATAGCGAGTACAACCCAATTAGGGTTTCCTATATGTATCTCAACTGCTGCTAGTGCAAACCCTCCTTCGCTTATTCTCTCTTGCCTAGCTTGCTAGCTATGGTTCCTGCGTTCTAACCGCTATTGTAACATGGTAACAAAGCTGTTACGCTCTTGGCCTGTGGGCCCACCTGCTTCCGCTGCTTTCCTGTCTGTCGCGCGCCCCGTAGCGCGCGACGCTGTTTTTTTCTTCCCGCCACGCGCTCGGGGCGCATGGCGGTTTTCTGCCCGCCGAGCGCTCGGGGCGCGCGGCGGTTTTCTGCCCGCCGTGCGCCCCGAGGCGCGCGGCGGTTTTCTGCCCCGTCGACCCGCGCGTCGCCCCCCGTCGCCCGTCGCAGCGCCCCCGGGGACCCGCGCGTCGCCCCCTGTCGCCCGAAGCGGCCCGCGCGACCTGCGCCAGGCCCGCGCGCGGCCCGTACAGCCCGCGCGCGGCCCGTACGACCTGCGCCAGGCCCGCGCGCGGCCCGTATGGCCTGCGCCAGGCCCGCGCGCGACCCGTACGGCTTGCGCCAGGCCCGCGCGCGGCTCGTACGGGCTGCGCCAGGCCCGCGCGCGGCCCGTACAGCCCGCGCGCGGTTCGTATGGCCCGCGCCAGGCCCGTGCGCGGCCCGTACAGCCTGCCCCAACCGTCCCGCTTCACCACGAGCACCGCCCCCGCTGCTGCACACTCTCCTGCCCCGTGCTGCCTGTGTTAGGGTTTGGGGGTGGCGAGTATGGGGGTGACGGGTGTGTGAGCCGTCCCCTGCTCCTCCTCCTACTCCGTCTCCCACTGCTTCAGCTGCCGCTAAGGGGGGTGGATGTGTTGTCAACATAGTAGATTAAGCTAAGACTAGGGTTTGGGGTAGGAGGAGACTTAGAGAGGAACATGTCGAGAGATTTTGCCAAAAGAGGAGATTCACTATAGACTCAAAGGTACAAATAGGCAAGAAGCATGACAAGAAGGTGCACCACCAAACAGGATGATTAGGATAACTACACTACAGCTAGAACTACATGCAGTTATAACAATATAATTTTGACATGTGTGGGAGCCGCAGGTGTGGCGCTAGGGGGGTGTCGTGGGTGCAGTGCTAGAGGAACAGCAGGGGGTGTGTGAACGGGAGCTTTGGGATAGTGGGGGAGGTTGAAGGGGGGGTGGCCGCCGTGAAGCCAGTAGCTCCAGTCGCCCGTGAGACCGTTGCGCCAGTCGCCCGTGAGCCCGTCGCTCCAGTCGCCCGTGAGCCCGTTGCTCCAGTCGCCCGTGAGCCAGTTGCTCCTGCCGCTCGTCTAGCCGCGGAGCCAGTTGCTCCAGTTGCCCGTGTGCCAGTTGCTCCAGTTGCCAGTGTGCCAGTTGCTCCAGTTTCCCGTGTGCCAGTTGCTCCAGTTGCGCCGTGTGCCAGCAGCTTCAGCTGCCGCCCACCACGTCCTCTCCTCTCATAGTCCCTCCTCCTCCTCACTTGCCCTCTGAGATAGCCTCTAGCTTTGCTTGTTCTTGTGAACCTGCTCTATGATTGCTTGCTGTGCTGATTATACCCCACTTTGACTATGGGGGTGTGTCAGAATATCATGCTTGTCTAGCCTGCAGTGGGGTACTCTATAGCGAGTAAAACCCAGTTAGGGTTTCCTATATGTATCTCAACTGCTGCTAGTGCAAACCCTCCTTTGCTTATTCTCTCTTGCCTAGCTTGCTAGCTAAGGTTCCTGCGTTCTAACAGCTATTGTAACACTTATAATTGAGTTCCGGCCATAAGCGCCATGCTCCATATAGAAGCACCGGCGCCTTCAATGGCACGGCGCTTATATCCGGGGCCATACGGAATATTGCAGAAGTGAGTTTGTTGGGATATCTAGTTGATTAGAAGTGATTTGTATGTTTCATGTGATAGATCCGAACTGTTTATTCCTATTAATATGATTTTTTATGCACTTGTCTATATTCAGTCTGAAACCGAATCACACACAGTCAGCCGTGATCAAAGCCATATTCACGAGATTCTCGTCAATCACGATAGTTGATCTAAC